TGAGTCACTGTATGTCTGATGCCTAATTAGTACATTTACTTTTGAGTCACTGTATGTCTGATACTTATGTTCTTTTATTTGAAAGTGAATATGTTTACAAACTAGTATAATAGTTTTACTTTAAAAAAAAATCAGAATACTTTAATTACAGGAAATTACTTAGATTTAGAAAGAATTTTCACAGACATATTTTTTGATTTAATAATAAAAGCAATTAGATGTTTTATTTATCCCTGTAGGGAAACTCTCTTCTTACATGGCCCTCTAATAATGGAGGTTAGAGTGCAGGGTCAGATACAGAGCAGACAAAACTCAACCGTCTGGCTGGAAAAATATGACTTACTAATACTTTTGCTTAGGAAGACGTGGTGCCCCCTTGTCCTCAAATGTATGATAATCTGCTGTAATTAAGGTACATACAGTAGATGTATGTTCTAGCTATGGTGTTCATTTTGAGACTACAGTAACCAGTTTCAGTTTCCAAACTGGAAGAGCGGCAGAATTATATCGGAGCTGAGCTCAGCATCTGCTCTCTGTTTTGCTTTGTATCTCCTTACCAGAGGCCGTCTTCAGCTCTTCCTTCAGCTCTCTCTTCTCCTGTCGGAGGGTCACTAGTGCATTTCGTATTCCATCCCTCTCTCTTTCCAGCTCCTCTTTCTCTTTCAGGTAACGCTTGGCATCCTCTTCAGCTCGTGTTTTCCCATACCTTCCATATTGGTTGGCATCTGGGTGGAGATGTCAGAAGACAGCAAAGGTGAAGGGTTAAATGTGCAGGGGTTGTGGGAAGAAGACAAAACATCTCACAGCAATATTTCTGCCTGTCTTTGTTAATGTTATGCTTCTCATGTGAGGAGTATGATGCCATCGCCACAGCTCACATGAAAGCATAGCAAGCATATTTGACCTTTTTTATAATTCAAACAAAGAATTTGGGGAGAAAACAATGATATGATGCATGAATAAAAGATAAACACACACACACACACACAGTCCTGCAGAGGGAGAGGTCAGGAGGCAAGACAGCGAATCTAATGTTAGTATCCAATAAATCTCAGGTTACATCCTGAAGATTTCAGCCCTGGAGAGTGCTGACCCTTTGATGTGTCAGAACGTCACACTGAAGGCCTGTGAAACAGCACTGAGGAGAGCACTGAGACAGCCGACCACACCGATATCATTTTCCTAAACTCAGGATGCTCGTCTCCTTTATTCATATGCAGAGAACAACTGAAAGAACTGGGCAAATGATTAGAGGCGAGTGGGAGGGATGAAGATTTATGGATGATGGAAAGTGAGAAGATGATTGAAAGGAGAGAGGAAAAGGGGTATACTGAGCCAGATAAAAGCTCAAATTTTATGACTATGAATTGGTACATCACTAAAAGAAGTGTGTAAACTAGAAAAAAATAGAGCTTTGCAATCTAACTCCGGTGTGACACACAACTTTATTAAGGGGTGCCATTATTTATTGATTTTTTTCAGAGACAGATGGAAGGCGGAGAGCTTAAAAAGACACAGGAGGAAAATAATAAATAACTGCCAGTTAATTGTTTTTAAGTCTTGCAGTGCTAGTAAAGAATCACCAATGATCAACACATTTTTAAAAAAGGTTTAAAAAAGGTTTCCATCTACATCTCTGCATTTGGGTAATATATAAATTTATATTATATATCATTTCAGACTGACTAAATGATAAGGAAACTAAACTCAAACTGTAGAAAATAGGAAGTGTTGTCAGACTCACGGTTGACAATTTAAAAAGAGGATCAAAATACATGCAACAGAACCATAAATATAATCTTTTTATTCCCCGCATTCCTCTTTCTTGTCAAAACCTGGCTCTTACATTACCCACAAAGCAACAAGCTGAAAGTTTAGCCGTCAAGCAACAAAGGAGATAGAAGTCTGGTAAGCTCCCTTATCCCTTCTAGATTTTGCTAATTTGCAAACTTATAGTCTTCAGCCCCAGCGAAGACTAACGTGTGTCAGCAGAGGCACTTTATCAGACTTTAGAGCCACAAAAGGCTTTATCCAACTTTTTTGAATTGCAGTAGCACTCCCCAAAACCTGTATTGCTCTTTAAATTTGGTGATGTTGTTTATATGCACACCTCCTTTTTTTATTTATTGAAAAGCTGCCTATTTATTTCAGTAAATGTAAAGGTTTCTGTATACCCCACATGTGCACAGTGCAGCCGGCTTTTAGAAATCCCTAGAATTAAGACCTCTTCTCTGCACATTTCAAGTGGAATAACCTTTAAAATACTTTTAGGACACACTAATACATTTCTCACAGTCTGTCTCTATGATTGAAACACTAGTTGAATGTGAATGTTTTAATTTATAGCTTTTCCCTTGCCATCAGTTATCTCTTAAATAGCAATGTTACTTTGGAAAACCATCTAAACACACTTACTTGAGCCTGTTCGTTTGAGGGAGACTAATGGCTTTGTTCTGTCAGAATCGCTGCTGGAGAAACTTGAGCGCCGCTTCCCCTGATTCCCAGACTGCTGCCTGCGGTTCTCCCCTGACTGGGTGGAGTAGAGAGAGGGTGGGGGGACATGACAGATGTGGGAGGATGCAAAAAGAAGGATGAGGACAGAGGGGAAAACAGGCAAAGTTTGTATATTATGCTAAGCAATAAACTAATCTTCAGATTTATTGGTTTGAGACCACAGAGGTGTGTGTGTGTTTGTGGCTGTAGGTGGTGAGAAGTATGTGTTTAAGTGCATGTCAGTGGGGTTAAGAAAGGGGTTTACTGGCTGTAAACCAGCCATGACCTTTTGCCTTCCTGTCACCAGTTTGATCGCTTTTTCTCTTTTTGCTCTCCCATGCCCACACACTGCTTTTTCTCTGGCCTACAAAAGGCGGTCATTGATAGGCATGTAACAGAGCACTGTCTGTCTGTTTGGGTGACTGATAAAGGGTGTCATATTCAGACAGCACCCAACAGCTGCACACACACAGACATGCAGCTTCTAATCTTGTCACATCAAAGCATTACACATAAGCTTTAAGTGAACATGGGAAAATGCGTCTGTGCGTCTGAGAAACATACGTCCCACCTGCATATCCTCATTAGGGACCTCATCATATGTTCTGGAGTCTGTGGAGGTACTGCTGGAGGATGTGGCCCACCTAGGGTCAGAGAAAAAAGGGGAAATGAAAACTGCATGAGGCCTAAATACCATTGCATTGGTCAGTGGCCTTGCTTTGACCTCCTCCAAATACTCAAACTCCCCCCTCTCTGTCTCACTCACAAGAAGGAATGCCGCGCAGCGTCGCGGATGTTAGCAATGGTTTCCACGTCAACGTAGTCGTAATGCAGTGACTCTGGATCTGTCGCGGAGCCTGTCTCTGCCAGGAGGACACCGAGCCACCTTCCAAGTTCCTCAGAGCTACTAGCCTAAAAGGAGAAAGGATAAATAAGCTTTAAAATTAAAAAAATATGATTATTGCAGACTTAGTTGATAAATTATACAAAGACATTTGACCTTTTGATAATGTCAAAATATCGATTAATTCGGCTTTAAAATAGGGAACAAATGCTCAGTATTTCACCTCCAGAGCAGCAACTTCTGTACTGTTCCGTAGGATTCGGAAGGCAAAGGGATGTTTGGGTCCCAGCCCTGGCATCACCTCACAGCCATGGAGAGGAAGTGAAGGCATGGAGGTCCGAGGGTCTCCTTTATCATGGTAGAAGTGCAGGGAGCCTCTGCACACACAACACCACTGTTCCCGCCACACTTGATTCACCAGCAATGACAGGTAGCCTGCATGGTGAGGAAGGAACAAAACATGAGCAGTCTGCAAACTTGGAGACCTAAAGAGTGACAGTGACGTGGGGTATGACCTTGTCGAGGGTCGCTGTAGGATATCCGGGGATCTCCTGGCCGAGGGGGCTTCTTCTTGGAGAAGCTGATGATTCGTGTAATTTTTCGGCCCGCAGCAAAAGGTCCTCGTTTAACTTTGCCTACATAAAAATATAAGGATTACAGGATTGCTCTTTGTCCAAAATTATCTTAGACATGAGGAAACTGTTCACTTAGATTCAGACATGCAAAAAACATGTGACAAAATAAATATCACTACTTTATGGACCAGTTAAGACTGAAAAGACTATCATCTGCATCTTGTGGCCTTTGCTCTATTTTCATGGAGATACGTCAGTTGTCATCATGAGTATTGACCTAATGACGCATTTTTGTTTCTGACTTGTAAACAGCCTTCACATCAACATCCAAGTCTTAATTATGAAAGTCTGGGAAGTCAGATGTTTCGGAAAGCTCTGATATTTCCGACTTGGCACATACAGTGCCTGAAAACCAAACATGGATGCCTCACATCAGCCAAAGTTTTTCGTTCTCAGTAATTAAACCCATACTGTCAAGTATTTTCAACACTCATACGTACAACTCTGCAATCAAACAGCTGTCTTGAGTTGTCAAATGCATTAAGAAACAAATTATTTGCCATCCATCCCACATAACATGAATGGAGTAGTACAGAAATGTGTCATGTGATGACAACTGAGCCAAAAACTCAATCTGCTGATGAAGACCGTGAGATAGATATAGCTTAAAAAAAGCTAATAAGTGGACCTTGATGTGATTTTTTTTGTCTCACCGTTCTCTCTGCAGTTCTCTCCAGTTGACACACCCACACTGTCTGAGTCTGATGTGTTCCTCTCGGCAGACAACCTCTGAGGAAGAAGCACACACAGATTTTGACTTTCAATAGCAGGAGTCCTACACAGGATCTGTCCGACTGCCAGAATCAGACTAGAGCTAGGCCTTCTACACCTGTCTTGTCCTAATTAACGGCTAAATAACTATACTTGAGATAATTCTTTAACAAGCTAACATATGTATCAGCCTCTAGATTCTTTCATTCTTTTACATGCTGTCTTATAACTCACTAAATTCCTTTATGACAGGGCTTTGTGCAGTTTATGTTCGGACAGGTTGGTAAGCTGTTCCGACACTGACTCACTACCATCCCTATTATTGCTGGCTTAACACATGATTACACTAAATATCTCCTCTTTGTTCTGCAAGCCAAATACAGGTATCACCATGTGCTGCGCTGAGCCAAGCAATTGTTTAGGAAAATTGATGGTGACAACACAATTGCGGCTTACCACCTCAGCTGTAAAGACAAGTTATGTCTGAGTCTTGAGGAGAAAAGTGACGGGGACGGGCTGGGACGTCTTCTACACTTACCTTGTCAAGTTCATTTTTTCTTGGAATGATGGGAGACGCAGATTCCTCAGGCCCTGCACTCTGACCGCTCACCTCTCTAACAACCTGTGGGATATTTTTAATGTGTCACTCTCGACTGTAACTGTGATTTGTTTTTCCTCACTGTCAGTAATTGTTGACAAGATTGATGGCCGTGTTGCCAGTCTGTATTCCTGCATGCATACATTTCATTTCAAAGCTTACCCTCAGCCATCTGTGGGCCTGCTCCTTGCTTTGTACCGCCAGCACCAGAGCATCCCCATTGGGTAAGGTAAACCGGAGTTCATGGTGCTTCCTCTTACTGTCTTTGGGTGCATAGACCACAGTGCACTGGGGCAGCAGCAGGTCTACATAGGGGCATGTGTCCTTAGAACTCTTATAGCACTGCAGAAAGGGGGATACACAGGATACTGTGAATTATTGCAGAGAAGAACAACCACAAAGGCTGTGTATGTATCTTTAATGCATGATTGGATGCTTTTCTAAAGACTCACTTGCAGTCTGTTGTCCCGTATGACAGTGAGTTGTTTCGCCCATTGGCCAAAACGTTTCTTGCGCAGCAGGAAGGCACAGATGCGACAGTCCCTGGCAGGAGGCATGGAGCTCTCATCTGAGGGCCACTGATGAGTGAGTCGGATGCCAGGGCTCCTCTCTTCCTCATCCTCCTCATAGGACTCATAGGAACTGCTCAGAGCATCTGAGTCATTGTCTAAGAGAGCAACAACAGAGAAGATAAAGTGTGTATCATTTGCTAATAAGCAAGTAAGTTGTAATCTTCTAATTTTGGATGGTAACTTGTCTAAAACTGGTCTAAAATACTCACATGAGTTTTTGCGTTGTGAGTTTATGCAGGTTGCAGGGTAGTTGTTTTCAGCATCTTCATACCCATCCTCTATAGAGTTGGGAGGGCTTGGCCTGACTAAAGATGAAAGACATGAAATATGTTCCAATATGCCACTTGTACTTTGTAATTATGTTCAGAAAAGTGCTACATGTCGATGTTTAAGTGGTGAGTATTGATTTAGAGGTTTTCACAGCAAAATGACACCGAGGTCACTGAGGTCAGTAGAGGCTGGGAAGATGCTGACCTCGTGTGATGATGTACTCTGGCATCTTGCCAGGACTGAGGGGCACTGCCTCCTCATAGTACTCCTCAGGAGGAGGTGTTGTGGGCAGGGGGGGAGGAGAGTCAGCTGAGTACGGGGCTGGAGAGTCTGAACAGTTTTGCTAGGGAAGACACACAAAGACAACTCTCAAATTTCCTCCATAACCATGAAATATTTTTATTCACAGGCTAAGAACTACATCATCAAAGAGATACAGAATATAACCCTCAAAATAATATCCATAAATTAGACATATGGGCTCTGGGCGGGTCCCTAAATCTTAATTCTCCCAACAGCTTGAAGAGTGATGAGCTTGTGTGCGTGCATGGGAAACCCCCACAAGATGGAATACAATCTCTGTTTTTCTTTGCTTTTTCTGCACAAGTCATTTAGAGGTGTAACAGTCCTCTGCAAAGTTGGATTTGGATAGTGAGCGCCATAAAGATGAACATACAACATACATCCCTCATCCTACTTCCTAAGTTGCTATCTACTGGCCACTTGCCTGTTTTAAAGTGTCAGCTTGTGGGTTCTTGTCTTCTTTAAGATCATCGGTAACATCCTTTAGGTCCCCAAGCTGGCAGTCTATAAAAGACAACAACATACACTTAACCTCACACTTTGTGTATATAATGATAACATGATATTTGTAGCTCATATATATATATATATAAACATCACCATGTTGGAACTGAAACTCACCAAATGTCTCAAAGAGAGACTCTACAAAGCTGGTGCCATTTCTGTACACTGCCGAGTTCATGTAGATGTAGTCTGTTCCTGAAACTGGAGGCAAGGAAAGAAAACATACACACTTACTGCATCGTAAGAAACATCACTCTGAATCGACATTCTAGCAATCTATAGCAGTGTTTCTTCTTCTGTCTCACCACATACAGCTAAAATGAGTGTATTCCATCTTTTTATTATATGTAAAAACTCTTCTGGGAGTCTGAAATAAAACACAAATAAAAGTCACTTCATCTTTTTTCTAACCTGATGGCTGTATCTGCTGCAGGAGGTTCCGCACAGAGGTCTTTTTCTCCTGTGTGGAGGAGCTGAGGTTCTCCTGGTCCAGCATCTTCAGCAGTAAACCCAGCTCACTCACCAACACCTCCATCGCTGCATAGGAATAGAAAGGGGGCAAAGGTCATGGGGGGGCACTGGTTCAGTATATCAGGAGAGAGGGCAGATGTCGGGCTGACAAGTCTAAACAAACCCCAAGGTGTATGTTAGAGAGCCTCTTTCTGCCTTGCTTTCCCAGTGTCTTTCTTTCATTTTCTGTCAGTTTGCTTCACAGTTGGTCAATATCAATCCACCATCTTATCATACAGTCTCCCTCCTCTCCTCCTCTCTCTGTCACTAGCCAGACTAAACAACAACAAAAGACTGGAGTGACAGGAAACATGTTTGCTAACCGCTAATTAACCCAGAAACTGAAGCTACCAAAAATAACAACTTACACAGAGTAGGAACAGAAAATCCTGCACAACGAGCAAAAGAAAGAAAAGAAAACCAGTGTCGTCTTTCTGCAGCAGTTCTGAAATGCTGCTGGCTCACACACTGATAGGCACAAACCCACACTTCAACCAACTATTGCTCTCAATGCTAAGAAGGCATATTAAATGCACTCCAAAGGCTGTAAAGATGTTGGCAGAAATATGAGATTCTGACAAGAATAACTGAAAGATCACTTTACAGAGCCTAGAACAGGCCAACTGTACCAGCAAGCAGAGGTTCATTCCCAGGGACCTGATCTTTATCAGTAAGAGCTGGCTCGGGGATGCAGACCTCCAGCAATACACACTCTTCACAGGGTTCTCCAGGTTCTATAACAGTATGAGGACTCAGCTTATAGGAATATATGCTTTACATTACATGTTGATCTGAGAGGTGGGACTGGTCTACTCCCTGTTTTCAGAACAGAATTTAAAATAAACTGGTCGTCTCCCCAGATTTCCTGACATCCTGAGAAAGCGTCTGCAACAACTGCTGCTGTGTTTCGGATTCTCATTTACTCATCTTGGCGTCTTTTGTATTTATTTCCTCTGCCCTTGTTGTGCCTTAATATGGCGTTCTCTGTCTCTAAATAATCTAAAATCCTCTGTGAACCTGAACAACTGCTGAGTCACTGCTGGGCAACACTTGTCTGCCTATCCCCCCCCCCCCCCCCACACACACACACACTTCCCACTCCGTCCATTTCTTTCTCTCACTTACTCCCCCCTGCCCCATTTTCACAGTCCAGCCACATTAGGGCCTGCTGAACCGTGCATCTTGCTGGGGTCAGCCACGGGACAGCTGCTGAGCCAGAAAAGTCTTTGTTCAGTGGGCGGTCATATGGCAACAAGACCTGTTGCACTAAACAAACACAAAATTCACACACACGGACATGCACACATGCAGAAAAACATGAAACACACATAAATGCTTGAATGATGTGTATGTAGTGGGCCGTGTCAGAAGTGAACTTTGGTGTACCTGTCTAGAAAAGGCACACAAGCCAGCCTGTTGTGTGTGTGTGCGCCAGTCTGAGGAGCGTATTAATCAGTTCAGGCACAATGCTCGACTTGTAGATGTATTACTGTATGAGTACTGTATGTAGAGGTATTGACACAGCAATCTAGCAATGTAATCACCACTGACAAGCAGAAAGTCTCGATGAGGTGGAAGATGTATCTGGTGTTTGTCGATGATGTGTGTTCTACATTTCAGACTTCTCCCACTCCTTAAGACAGGAATACTTTCCTGAGGTGGGTCTTCCTATGGGCTTAACAATGCCCAGCCAAGGCTACAGTCAAAAGCAAAAAGAGCTACAGTAGGTGTGTGTTCGCCTGTGTCTGTTTAACCACTTTGGCGTCTTTACTTGTGTGGTTTCCTTCTATTGTAATAGAAGCACACTAGCACTCGCAGAAATAGGCATGAGGAATTAATTCATGCAGGGACCTGGAATGTCTCCTCATTAAGATCTGATGCACTCTGGGGAAATAAGGATGGGGAAGGAGAGGAAACTCATGAAAGTGGGATGTCTTGGCCGGGCGACTGCTGCCTCTTTGCCAGAGGTTCCAGCTGTTTAGATTCTGGCTCTAGCGCACCAGTGGGCTTCCCCTAACTGAGTGGAAGACAGAACTTTATCCACAGCATGACTCATTCACAGCAGAGAGAAACTGAAATTTACACCAGTCAGCATTAAATCAAACATAACACAGAAAGACAGTTGCTTTCAAGGAGTTGGCGTGAAGTAGGTCAAAACACTCTTAAAACTGTTTCACTGTTTCACTTGGACCAGCGCTCTAAAGAGCTGATTATTTAATTTTACGATTACAGTGTTATTCTGCTTGAGCCAGAATGAGCAAAGAGGAATTACTACGTAGTATTTGGCATGCGAGGCACATAGGACCACCCTTAAGTCCCTAGTCATGCCTTTATAATCAACACCACACTACTCACACACACATCTAAAACAGCACATGATCCTTTAAATCTCTGCTGTAACTGACTGTGTATGATGTGTGTCTTTGATGTCTTTAAAAGCCAAACAAAACTGATTCTGAGCCTAGCACCTGAGGGAAACTACACACAAGCTTGCAAAAGATAATAATGCTACATAAAAACAGGTTGGATATGGTTTGATTAAAGCCAGACCGGGGTGAAATTGGAATATTTGCAGCAACATGAAGGACAAACCATAACTTTAATCTACATACTGATTCCTTTACTTTTCAATCCTTAAGAGGAAATTCATGAGGGGTTATTACAATTTTAGAGAGCATAAAAGATGGGTGCAGGCAGTGCACTATGTCTGGAATGTGTAAAGCCATTCAAAGCTTTGGAAACACTAAAACATTTACCTCCTCACACTAGTCTGACAATTGCTGTTAAACACTAAACACATTCCTCACTTTGTTAATAGTGCAAGACTCTGCAGAGTGTGATTGTGCGAGTGTGTAGTGAAGCTGAGAGAGTAGTTTGTTTAACAGTGCAGACTCAGACCTTTAAAAGAGGCTTGCACTAGCAGAGTTTCTGTACAAACTCTTTGAGGGAGAGAAGGGGGGGGTTGAATAATGTCAGCGAGTTGAGCACCTGTGCTAACATGTCCATATAATAATGTGACCTCAATATCGGGTGCACAGGTTTTTGTTTTTACTCCCTCCTTTTCATGCCAAAGGCTTTCTTAATGCTGAACCTACTTACCTTGCCACGCATCACTCACTCAGTCACACACACACACACACACACACACACTTCAATTCACAGTATGTCGAAAGTGACAAAATTCAGTCATTGGGCAGCAACTCTGTTTCACAATATTGTTGCAAGCAGACATTCCAGCTAATCACACAAGAATTTGCATCCCACAAAGAGTCTCTAGAGGCTCAACTATTGAGTCTGGGTGGCAAACTTTCTCAACAATTCAACATTACTGCCATTCTTGGTATTTCAGCCGAGCTGGCATGATGCTTAAGGCATGAAATAAACATCACCTGATGTTTTACATTCAGTCTCATGTTTACAACACCTTTACAGCTTCACACTGTTCTGTATATTTACATATCTTTACAACCCCTTACACCTTCTTTAGCTTTAGATGCCTGCTGTGTTAATATACAAACTATAAAGACTTCCCTTGAACACTTACCCTCGACAGCAGTGGATGAGAGTCCCACCATTTTCCAAGGTTGAGAGGGAGACAAACCGGTTCATTCATACACAAGCAGATACTGTAGGAGATATTCCAGAGTCAAAGCCTCCCTGTGTGCTCTGTCCTGTGAAGCCTTTGTAGTGGAGGTGAGCCCAAGTCTGCCTACTGCTGCATTCACACTTCCTTTACCTCTCCCTTCCTCCCTCTGATCTGTTATCTCCCAATACCTCCCTCCCACAAGTCTCCCCTACTCTCTTTTCTTTTAGGGGGGTAGGGAGATGGTGGTGGTGGTGCTTTGTGTGTGTGTGTGTTTGTGTGTGTGTGTAGCCCTATTGGATGCCCCTCTGCTGTAATCCTAGGGATCGTATAGCACCTGGGAAAGGCCTGCTGTGTAAACACACACATGTCGACTAATAGCTAACTCACATTCTTTATTCTTTCCCTCAATACATTATTAACCTTTAACTAGCTGCACATGAAGGCTGCCATCCAGAAGATGCCAATGAACCCATTGACATACCAGATACAGTAAGGTATTGTATTACTGCTTTACATTAGAGCATCTCAACATGGTTACTTACTGATAAAGATACAGTAAAATGTTCCCAAGTGACAATCTCTTTTTTAAATACATTTATATGAAAATACCGGAGGGATTAAGTAAACACTGTGGAGTGGAGGTAGAGGCAAGTTCAGACTCCTCCGAGTTACACGTGGATGACTTGTTGCCTTGAGGCAGACTCATGTGCCCCAACACGATGCAACACGCTGCCTTCAATCACACGGGCACTATCGCTGCACAAACAAACCCACGAGCACACACAGACAAATACGCATGTACAACAACGCAGCAACCCCTCGTGCACAGACAAAACACACTTCCCCTGAGTGTAGGCTTCTACTGTATACCAGCTGCAAAATGAAAACAGTGTCAGCTGGCTTAAGGGTTGCACAACAATCCCTGTGAAGTTACTAAATTAGATTTATACAGAGGATTTAAAAAAAATATTAATTATAGTGCTAATACCTAATCACCAATACAATCCTTTTTGATACATTACTTATGTTGTTGTTTTGAGAAAGAAACCTGTTTTTCATTAGACACAGTTTTCTCAAATGCTAAAAGTTGGCAGAACACAAGAACTTCGCCTAAAGCAATTGCCTAACTGGAAAAAGTGGTTAAACCGATTTAAATCAGATTAAATAACAAGTAAAAAGGACTACAATTACAGGTGTTGGTAGTTAAACTGTGTTCGATACTTACCAAAGAGTTATTAAGGGTTTGAAATCCTACTGAACTAAAACTCCAAAACCGGAAAATTGGTAGAAAAGAGACAACAGTAATGACAACATATACCAATAAAGTTAAAGGTGATTTTGGAGAAGAACTCTGCAGAAATATCACTGGACAATGAGTGACAGGCAACGGATGACAGACAGACAAGTCATACTCTGCACTGCTCTGGAATAAAGTAGACAG